TAAGCGGGAGTCGTATCTTCACGGAAAATTCCGTGCTACGTAGCTAAGAATGCTGCAATGGATGGGTGGATCGAGGCGGAAAGTGGCCGCTGTGAGTGACTTTTGCTTGTTCCTTTTAGTCATGCAATTTTTGTTCGGGATAATTCAGATTCAGAGGTTCATTATCAATTGTGTGCAGAGTTAAGCTCGGTGTGTTAGAATGATAAGCTTCATTTCTACTATAAACACAATTCATGAGTGTTATTGTTTCCAATTCAACTCCAGTTAGATGATAATTTGTCTTAATTCTGACTTGTTATCGTTTTTTTCTCGGCGTCTTTTGGGGGGGGGGGGGGAATTCAGTCACACACGTCAGTCAAGAAGAGGTGTGTAATTTTTCCTGCTAATGAGATGTTTGGCAGTGTAATTTCCACAAATAAATGTCTTAGAGAGAGATTTATTGTTCACTTGTTTTCTTGTATCTTTGTTGAACCTCAAGGCAAAAGCAGTACTTTGAGCAGAGGAGGCAGCAACAGCATCAGCTCCCTGTTGGGTCTGAGAGCTGTACTAATGATAGAAACAATATTAATCAACACCCAAGAGAACACCAATCTTTGGATATTCTTAATTTGCTCAACTTGTCAACCACTACTCCTGAATGCAAACCGTCTTCTTGTCCAGAGACTGGTAAGTATATGCTTGTTAGGACTGACTTCCAGCTGTGTTCTGAGTGTGGCTTATTGTTTCCCCCATAATTGGAGTCATTTTTGCATTAAGACTCCAAAGCATGACATATAGTTCCATTTTGCTTTCTTCCTGTGTGTGTCATTTGTTAACGAAAGAAGGAATGGAAGATCTGGATGCTGATTTCTACATACTGAAGAACAACATTTCCGGAGTAGGTAAGGTCTCCAAACTCATGATCGATGAATTTGGTCCTCTTCTCTGCTCATGTTGTATGTGTGATGATGTAGGAAGTTCATTAAACCATAAAGCAGAACCTATTTCCTCAAAGAGGCAAGTCAGTTTTTCTTTGTTTTGCTTTCATGTAATGTCATTGCCCAAAATTTGTTTCTCAACCTGTGTATCCTCTTGATTTTTGTGCTAGTGGGACTGCATATCTTATAGACATTTTGATGCTTCACTGTCTTATAGGACTACGTTTAGTATTCCTGACAACCAGAAGAATGATTTCAAGAAAGCAAACACCACAGTGGATCTGATGGATGGCACAGAGCAGAGTAAGTAATCACGATAACTTAGCATGGGGTTAATTTTAGAAATTAGAAAGGTTTACTGTATTATCTTTTTACCATTCTTGTACATAGAGTTAGCATCTTGATCTGTCTGTTTCATTCTGGTTTGACTTCTCAGCCACTTTTTGGTAAATATGGGCATTCTATACCTTTTCAGAGTTATCTGTCTTTGATTTGGTTGGTGATGATGATCATACAACAACCAACCTGGAAGTATATTCTCCATCTGAGGCTCACATGGCATTTTCAGTTGAAGGTATGTCTTAGAGATCAGAGACTGTTGGACAAATCTTAACTTTCCATGTGTACCTAGTCCATAATCAGTCTTTCAAACAAGATTTCCTACTATGCCTTTCCCTTCTGACTCGTAGTTTCTACATTTAGGATTGGGTAAAATAAACACGGAAACTCCGACTAATTTTCCACGACCATCTGACAGGTGAGTAGCATTCACGATATTGTTTGTACTGGCATTTGTTTTCACCATGTTTGTTTCCCCTACTATTTATTTATACTGTTTCCTCTAACATTATTCAAGAAACTTTGCATACCGGTGCTCCTCTCCATGGAAGGATTTTGYTCAACCAGATACATCAAACGTCAGGGAAAGGCTCAATGACTTTGAGAAGGAAGTGGTAACAAAGTTTCGTCATCTTATCTTTTAGCTGTCTTCCTTTCATCTCTAAGTTTTTTTCCAGGCCCAATACTTCCATCTTCTTCTTACAGGACACAATAATTGAAAGTAGCAAAATGTTCCAAGATGACAGCTGTTATATGTCTCCCGTCGGCATACATGCTAAAGATGGGGGCAGCAAGCAAAAAATGCGCACTTTCAGTGATCACTTGCAGAAACCATATATCAGCAACTCAAGAAGCTACTTCTGTGACGCTACAGAATTCAATGAAAGCAGGATCTCTGATGAAAACAAGTGGAACGGTAGTTTCTTATGCAAATGATTTCTTTTTTATATTTTCTTCTTGCACAACTCACCATCTATGCAACTGTTATTTTCTCTTAGTTCGTCACGACATGTCTTGATCAAAGCAGCATGTCACTTAGTAAATATAGCATAAAATGTAACGAACACAATTTCAGCTGGTGTGACATGAACTATGGGAAATATTTTCTGGTCTTAGATCATATGTGCATCTGTTTCTCTCTTTCCTCGTGAGATCAATAAAAATGTATGAAGTTGGTTTCTTCTTCTTACCTCATCAGATAAGTCTGCCTTTCTTGGTGACGGGGAAGGCAGTTTTTACTGGAAGGACCAACAGCCGTGCCAAGAGGAAAGTTTTAACCTTAATTTTATGAATTATGGAAAGGATTTCACTGAGAGTCGCTCTTCTGCGAAACAATATGGGACAAAGAAGAGGTGCTATTCAAAATCTCAGTTTCTGTGCCTTTATAGACATTGCTTCTCTACCTTTTGACATATACAGTCTTGTGTGTGTAGGGATTACCTGGAAACGAGCTGGAGGTCCAACATCGAAGGTGGGTTTTAGTTCAACTAAATCAGGAATAATAGCTGCCTCATATATGCTTTTATCAAGGAAATGTCATTTGACCTTAGAAGTTTTATTCGTAGAATAACTAGTCTCTAAGCTTATGTTTTTTAAATTTTTATTTTTTCACATCATTCTTTGGAAGTTCTAAATCCTATCTCTTTGATTTACTTCACTTTCTTTCAGTATCTCTTAGCTTACTCTGTTTTTGGTGTTTGAAGTCGGAAAAATACGTATCTACATATTTCCTGGATTTACCAGGTTTTGTCTATTTACTCGGTATATCTTTGTTCTTCTTTCTTTCAGATTCACCAGTTCGAATACCACAGCGTCTAGAAAGGACCATTGAACATCCTAATTTCGTTAAGGCAGCGTAAGTCAAATCATTGAAATTTACAAGTAGTTTTTTAAACTCATGCTGACTGAACTTTTTGAATATTAACACCCAGCTATTTCAAATCCCCGGAGAACTTTGATTTTGACAATGTTTTTGACCAACCGGTTTGGTCATCCATTGTACCTGAGGAAGATAAAGAGAGCCTTAGTTTGCGTAGGTAAGCATCTCGAGTATTTCTCTTTCTGATTGTGTTTCATATGCCTTATATATCCTGACAACATTCACTATTTCTGACAGCGAAGAATCTTGCTCGTCTAGTGCAGGTATTGATTTTTGTGACAGAATTCTTGTGAATCACTTATTAGGATTTTGCAAACATTTGTCTTCCTAGGTACTGAACCGTCACTATCCCTGAATCTTGTCAGTTTGGGCCAATGAAACCTCCATTTCACAGTTTGAAACCAACACAAGACAGAGGAAGAGGGAAGTTAATTTGTTTCGCAACCTTGAAGACAAGAACTATCTGAATAATGACATTTTCCAAGAATCTTGGGAAGATTGGGATGTAGATGATCAACATTTGAAGAGAAAAGTTGGTTCTGGAAAGCAGGTCAGACTATTAAACCCAGGAAAGTTGAAATCTACCAGTCAGAAAGACTCCTCTTTCCATGGTGGACTTGATGCGCCTTACAATTGCTTTGCAGAAGGATTTACATCTGCAGGCTTAAGCTCAGGTTTATCTCATTTTTCCCCTGAGACCTCTTAAAAATGGCTTGTCCATGTGGCCTCATTGCAGAGATCTATATCTAGAACTGTACAATACTCATTTTGATCTCTCACATGAAAATTCCTTGTTAACCTCTGTCACAGTTATTACAACCGAGAGAGACAAGCCATATTCTTTCCTGAACCACGAGCTTGGTAGCTCGCACTGGCGTCAATCTCGTGCCCCTGATTCTATTCCGAAAACATGGGTTCCCAAGTTTTCAGTAGGAGACACTGGAGATGATGATGGTGATCAACATGACTATGTAAACTCTTTATCACCAAACCATAAATCTAACCTAGCAGGAGACATCAGCGGTTTTGAGAGTGATACGCTTGAGCAAAGCAAAGAAGTGAGCCATCCAAAAAATCAGGGAGATGAGACCTCATCATCAGTTGCAAAGAGCCTCTCAGACGAAAATGAGTATGTACGGTGAATACTGTCACGCACTTGTCTGTATTCTTCACTAATATGTCTTTGCAATCTGTTCTCAAGGTTCCCCAGATTTCATAGTTAAATACAATCCTCCTGACACATGGAGAACTTTGCATTGTTTGTTAGATGTAACCCCAACAAGGAAGTCATGGAAGCTAGGCACCAAGGAAACAGAGGTAAATTGAAAATTTGTGTTTCCTATTATTAGAGTTCGTTACAATAAGCTAACGTATGATGAATGTTGAGAAAGGATCAGGTGAAAAGACAAGTAGAGACTCGTTCCAACAGATGATAATGCTGGAAAAACGCACGCTTCAATTCGTTTCTTTTAACAAGAGATTGCTCATTGGCTCTTTAAAAACTTAGGTAAGAAATTTCAAATCCATATATTGTCTTTATTCCAAGTAATCACTAAACCTGAAATCCAAAATTCATATATTTTCTTGGGCATATATATATATATAAGTAATAAGCAACTTTTTGTATATTCTCATTGAACATGCATGCGTACTTATTATTAAAAAAAAATCAACCATCTTGTTGTCCATATAGCGTTTGCGTTTTGAACCTAGCTTTGCATGCAGCCGTGTTTGTCACTACGCACGTTCTGTCTTTTGTGGGTCTATTAGTTCATGCATGAAGGCAAATATAATTCACATTAAACATGTTTTTGACCAAACTACTTCCTATAACATATAAAAAGGGTTCGTATCCTCATACTGGAAACTGGATATTGGAGTTAATACAGATAATAATGGCACTTTTTCGTTCAAAAATGTAGCTTACTCTATTGTTTTTTTTTTTGGTTCGTCAATGTTGCATGCTCTAAATTATATGGAGGATAATGAGATTCCTTCATATATTTAGTATTATTATTACAATTGTTACTTTAGTAAGAGAAAATATATAAATGTCTATTGCAAGCTGGGAACGTGAGCCCCAATTACAGCTGTGTGTATATGAGGAGGCATTATTGCGGTTTCTATCCGTTGATTGTTTTTCTTACATGCCGTCCTAAAAAGTCCTTTGGATGTTTCTTTATTACTTTGAAAAATATTATTGTAAATTAAATTAATTAGTTTCAGTGTATAAGATAAAGAATTTAATTTAGGGTGAATTAAGAAATTTGCGGCTGTAGTTTCCTATGTGCGAACATGTCTGGTACGAGATTTGATAAGTTATGTTAACCAACAATGAGTCATGAGAAATTGACAAATCATATATGTTAAAAGATTTCACACGGCCAATTTACCGGAAAAAAAAATTTAACATGGCCATAAACGTGGACTAAAAGCTCGCCTAATAATGATCAAACTTGAGAATTTAGCACTCTGTATTATAATTTATTTAGTTATCAACCAGAAAATGTAGTACACTTATCATAATATCAGATATCTAATTCAAACTAATCATTTGGATTGGGTGTATAAAGTCTAGATCCGAATAAAAAATAGTACTTATTTTGGTAAGGTTGTGCTAGTTTCTTTTCTATGAATTTAAATGATCCGTGACAAAGATAAAAATAAAAATAAGAATCGAAATGATCCGATGCTTCCAGCAATTTTCAACAACTGATGTTAATATTCGAAACCTTAATTAGATCATTATATATATTCTTGGTACCAGCTAGATCGATGTCAATCATGATGCTATGGCAACACACAATATGGAAAAAAAAGTACAGATTAGATGTTTTGACATGGATTTAAAAGTTCGGAATTTTCACGGTTCATTAAAAAAAATGTGTTTTGACTGTTACATTTTTTTTTTTTTTGAAACATGACTGTTATAGTTGTATTTCAATTTCAGTTTTATAATCGAGTTGTAATTGTATGATAATATGATGACAATCTAATCTAGTGGTTCGGACTATCCAAGTCAGTTTCATCAATTAAATTGTAAGGCAAAACAATTTACTAAAAGGATAAGGATAACGTGGCCCTGAGTTGATAATCTCTTCTGCATGGTAAAATCAAGAGACATATATTTGTATTAATAAGAAAATTCCATATATAGATATGAAAAACTGCTAAATGGTAAAAATTCTTATATATATATTTTGCTGTCAATAAGAAAATTCCATATATAAATAATGAATTTTCCGAATCTTTTTAAAATTTTTTTAAATCGGATTCGGATATTTGCATGGACTCAAAAGTATCCGAATTGTTTTGCATGGACTGAAAATATCCGAGTCAATATATCAACATGCATAATCGTTCTGATATAAATCTTGATCTTTTAGGTATCTCACAATACCAATCCTAAAAAGGGTGAAAAGGAAAAAGAAGAAACTCA